AAAGCTGAGCAAGGCAGGAGGAGGACAGCTGCCACCACAAACAGGGCATGCTGAGCAGTGCCACGGTCACAGGGAAGACTGGCAGGGGCCTCTGTGTGTCCAGATCAACACTAGGAATAGGACTCATTTACAAACAACAGGCAGGGCTGGAGAAAGGGGGACCCCCAACCCAGAGGAAAGTGCATCCAGAAACGACCCAGAGGCTGAAACAGCAAAGATCCCAGGTGACTATCATAAAAAAGTTAAAGTTTCAACAGGAGAAGGTAGAAAATGGGGAATTTCAGTAGAGAAATGGAAAAACCCAAGTACACATACCGGAACCAAAACATACGAGGTGTGAGCGAGACAACGCTGGGGGACGGGCCACACGCAGTGTGCGTAGCAGCTGGGGGTCCGCAGGAGGGAAGGAGACACGTGCGAAGGCCTGCGGGGCAGGGAGCACCCAGCGGTCTCGTGTGTGGCCAGACACTCGGGGGCAGCAGAGATGTCAGGAGAGACAATGGCCAAGACGTCCCCAAACTTAGGAAAGGCACTAACCAGCGTGCCCAAACAGCTCCGCATAAAAGCCACACCTCCGTGCACCCCAATCAGACTGGGGGCGCCACATACGAAACAAAAATCACCGTCAGAGGAAAGAGACAGGCTCTACCTGGGGAAACACTGGAGTTTTTCATCTGAAGCAACAGAAACCAGGGGTAAATGGACCATATTTAAAATGCTGAAAGAAAATAAATCAACCCAGAATCCTGTATCCAGCAAAAATAAAACACAGCTAGGAAGTACTTCAAACACGGAGAAATCAGGGCCTGGTCAGGCCAGCAAAGCTGCCACCCACAGACACTGAGCGCAGCGCCTCACAGTGACAGACAAGGAGCCCGCCCGGAAACCCAGAGTCCAGTGAGGAGTGAGCACAGGGACAGACACCCACCTTCAAAGGCCATGCAGAACAACGAGCTCCCACGACACCCGTCTCCAAAGCCTGGAATGCAGACACCAAGGGCTGGGGATTTCTCACAAAACTGGACACGCTCTTGCCATTTGATTTACCCAAACGAGTTGAAAACGTGTGCTTGAAAACAAACGTGCACACGGATTTTGCAGCAGCTGCCTCCAGAAGTGCCCAAACTGGATGCGACCAAGACACCTTCAGCAGGAGGGGATGCCAGCCGTGGTCCACGCAGAGGCTGGAATACTACTCAGCACTAACAGAAACGAGCCATCAAACCACAGACGTGGAGGCGCCTTCAATGCACAGAGGGAAGGAAGCCGGGAAGGCCACACTGCACACACACACCAAGGGACACCCTCATCAAGCTGCTCAGAACCAGCAAGAAAGTCCAGTTTTAGGTTTCAGTACAATCACACACTTATCTGTGAAGCCTTCACTAATCTCCCCAGAAAAGCCAAACATTTTAGGATCCACTGCACCAGGATTAGAGAGCCGTGTCAGAATGCTGCAATTACAGGTGTATCTGCAAGTCTCTTCCCTCGTGTAGACATAAGCACCCTGAGATAAGAAACATCTTACTCATTTCTTTACCCAAAATATAATTTAGCGCTGACCATACAGGAATGACCAAAAGAACAAACAGGTGAGTGACATTAATAAGACACCCCAGGGCCTGGGCGGCTCAGTTGGTTGGGTGTCCGACTCCGGCTCAGGTCACGATCTCACGGTTCGTGGGTTTGGGCTCTGTGCTGGGCTCTGTGCTGACAGCTCGGAGCCTGGAGCCTGCTTCAGATTCTGTGTCTCCCTCTCTCTCTCTCTCTCTGCCCCTCCCTGGCTCTCACTGTCTCTCTCTCAAAAATAAACAAACATTAAAAAAATATATATATTTTTTTTCAACGTTTATTTATTTTTGGGACAGAGAGAGACAGAGCATGAA